GGACAATCAAAGTACAAACCTCAATAATGGATACACCAAGTCCAAAGCGAAGGGAGCCGGCCAAATCGCCGGACTCTATACAAGGGAACAAGGCATGTTCAACAATAACGCCACGCAGGGCGAAACTAGTCTTGGGAAAGCTTGTGTCTGTTAGTGGGAGAGGGGCGTGGCTCTGGTTTTATGATTTCAGGAGGCCTCGGGATTGGTCTGAAATCACCATCGCGAAAGGGGGAGGTTTGACGCGAACAGAGACCATACTGTGCCCGCAAGGGGGTGGGCATTGCAAGCGTTTGAGGTCAGCGGCGGTAACAGTTGTAATCGAACCGGAGGGGGAGGGGGAGGCAATACCGAGTAGCTCTTGAAACAGTTGTTTCTTGCTTCAGTGGGGTGCCGTAAGCATCGTGTGCAAAGTTGATTAAAAGGCAAGATAGCCGAACGGGGTGTGGGGACAATATTCAAGCGCCACCTAAGTGGTACTTGGCCGGGGTACTAATTTTAACGCCAGCGTGCAGCGGACTGGAAACGAAAGGGTCAATGAGAACAGAATTTTTGGAGGAAGGGGGCTCGCGCGCGCAGTTCAGAGGGAGGGAGGAACAGCCTTTCGTAAGAGGGAAACAATTGGAGTCGGTCTAGCAGGAAATCACTGGAAATGGGCGTGGAGAATTTCTTACTTGTTCAAATCGAAATAACACTACTGTTACTGATACTTTTTTGATCGGAGGGAAATTCGCTGCAGATAAAGATTCAACAGATGGGACAAGTGCAAAGTCGATATTCCGGCAGATAGTGAATCGAAGGAAATAGGGGTTAATAGCGGCTTGCTTTAAGGGATCAAAACTATTGCGTAGGCTGCCTTTTGCATCCATAAGCGCGGCAGGCGTACGTGTGTCGGCCTGATCCGTCCATTGAGTTCTCTGGACTGTGAACTAGCATACCTTCTTGGGGTTAGAATTTTTTAAAACGTTCAGGTTTTGTGCTGTATGATGACTCTATACATTTTCAGGTTATGCCGATGAGGAATCCGAGCGGCTGTTGGGCACCCGTCTGTACCCAAAATCCCCTTGATCCCTCATGCCAAACGCTTACTAGTCACCTCCTCTCCTTCGCTTCTTGAACGTTCAAAACGCCTTTTTGTGGTCAAGTATTTTGAGTTTAGTTTGCGCAACCTGTCCGACAGAAATTTTCTTTAGGCTCTCAGCCAAGATCTACTTTTCTGTAGGATTCGGGCTCGTTATAGTATGTGGCAGTGTTGACCTCCCCTGCCTCTATATATTTGAGAAGATCGTGGTGCCTCTGTAGTGACAGTTAAATTTAGGGTCTACTACAGCTTATTTTCGCATAACTGCCTATTTACTTCGTAGCAATATGCATCCTTTGCCCAATTATGGCCTTAGCTTGAGTTAATTTTTTCAGTCAGTATATTTGGAGTAAATAACCGGAGCCCTTAGAAACTCCACTGAAACGGTACAGGAATGCATAAATTTTTGTGAAATATGCAAAGATTGTTACAGATCGCTTTTGTTGTGTAAAAGTGCATAAAAATATTTTGGAAATATGAATTGTTGAGAAGGTGAGGCATTTGCGGTATGGCAACGTACAACAAGTTCACTGTATACCCAGTATTCGTCTGGTGATCTTTAGTGTAAAATAAAAACTGTTGAAATCAAACGAGTAGTGTGTTTGTTTGTGGTGCTGTTTGTAGTGTTTGTCGTCATTTATGTTAGGTGGCTGTTGGGCTTTA